CTCCTGGGTTCAAGTGATTCTCCTGCCTCACCCTCCCAAGTAGCTGGGACTACAGGCGTGCACCACCACACCCAGCCAATTTTTGTATTTTTAGTAGAGATGGGGTTTCACCATCTTGGCCAGGCTGGTCTCGAACTCCTGACCTCATGATCCACCTGCCTTGGCCTCCCAAAGTGCTGGGATTACAGGCATGAGCCACCGCACCCGGCCTATTACTTTTTTTTTTTTTTACTTTTTTTCAAAAAGTGAAAATCCTACCCTACTTTGAAATGGTAGACAACAATGAAAGGCAAACTTCAGACTGGGGAAATGTTTTATAGACAATGGCTTAATATTTTTATTATATAAACAACACACAGAATTGATAACAAACAGAAAGAACCCAATAAATGGTCAAAGGATACAGATAAAACACAATAAACACAAGACATTTTGAATCTCACTAGTAATACAAAAAAATACCAAGTAAAAGGTCATTTGCAGCCTTTCAAATTTGAAGTTTAAAAAGCTGGTAACACTGAAGGCTGATGTTGATGTGAGGAATGAGTAGTCCTATGTTCTGGTGGGAAAATGATTTGCTAAAGATCCTTTGGAAAGCAATTTGGCAATATGCATCAAAGGCTTAAATAATGTCGAGGTCTTTTGACTCAGGGACTTTTCTTCTGGCAATCAGTTTCGGAGAAGTAATCCTAAATTAGGACAAGGCTATATACGCCAAGGTGTTTGAAGAATTTTTTTTTTTTTTCCTGGGCTCACACCTATAATCCCAGCACTTTGGGAGGCCGAGGCAGGTGGATCACTTGAGCCCAGGAGTTCGAGACCAGCCTGGCCAACATGGTGAGACCCTGTCTCTACTAAAAATACAAAAATTAGCTGGGCGTGGCGGCACATGCCTGTAACCCCAGCTACTTGGGAGGTTGAGGCAGGAGAATCACTTGAACCTGGGAGGTGGAGTTTGCAGTGATTTAGATTGTGCCACTGCACTCCAGCCTGGGTGACAGAGCAAGACCCTGTCTCAAAAAAAACCCAGAAAAACAAAACAAAAAAAAATATGCCCTGAGCTTTTGATTAAAAGTTTTGATAAGAAATCACTATGTGAAACTTAAATTCCATTTGCTATCAAATGTATGGAGAGTATTTTCAATGTATTATTCCAGTTTCCACATGAGA